AAAAATAGAATATACTGCAATGCTTTAATGCATATTGACTGTTTTTACATCTCCACGACTACTTTAATTACTCAGACATCTAGGTTTCCCCACGAAGTTATTCGTTACCATTTTAACGCACGTAAAGTTTTCTATAACAGTTTTGCTCCCGTGCTACGATGAAATCTCACGGCGAGAGCTACACGGCCCTCGTATTTGTTTAAATACAATTTCTAAAAACTGAAACTAAGCTTGTGTATGATTGTTGACTACATCTACCTAGTAATCACCCTTCCAACGATGCCACGAACAAATTTTCAATTATTTACATCGTAATTCAGTAACATTCTATTATTTAATGAGGGCTAATAATCTTCCACTCACCAGATGTCGCTAGTTGTGACTGAGGTAAAGTTTTTCGTTACATAGTGTCAGTTAATTGAGAAATTAGTTTTAAATAATAGTTTATCATTATCTAGAGTATTATATTAATATACAACACTGAGTCAGTGGTTTTTATTTTTAATTGTTTGCACTTTATAACCTTTTTTTAATTTTTCTACTTTAAGTTATATTTATAGTTTGGTTTATTCATTACTAATGTAATTAAGTAATATAAATTTTTTTTGTCAAGCTATATCATGAGATGGTCAACAAACAGTGCTAAATATCATGAAATGACCACACCATTTCACGAAATGATAGACTACTTTATGATAGGTATATGATCAATTCTACGATCTGGTCACGACATATATAAAAATATGTTTAATAAAGCTATAAAGATAATGAAAATTTTGCAATAATTGCAAACAGACCAGTTTTAATCCGTTTACATATATATTAGTATAATAATTGAAATAAAAACGTGTCACTATTATCTATTGACATTATTACACTTTTAAAATAAAATAACATAAATACTAAAAAACTAAACGTTACAATTTTTAAATAATTTTAAAAATCTTATTATTTAAACATATACATATTTTTATTTATATTATTTAATTTATTAGTAACTGAAGGCAAAATATACTAATTTTTCTATTTGATGATAGATGGCGCTATTTTGATAACTACATCGGTGTATTTTACCAAGTTTATAACTATATTTTAAACTTTATTTATAAATTATTTATAAATATGGTATATGGTAATTAATATTTGATTTATAAATATTTGAAAAACCACCGGTATTCCGCCTATAACTAATATATAATAGAAAATTAACATTTAAAGGAAGGAAAATACTTAACCTTCTTTTTTTTGAAGTTCCGTAATCGGATAAAAAGTAGCCTATAAGTTGCCCCGGGTTACTAACTACCTACATACAAAATTTTATGTAAATCGGTCCAGTGGTTTTTGCGTGAATCCGGAATACACAGACAGACAGACAGACAGACAGACAGACAGACAAAAATTCTAAAAACCACTGATTTGGCTTGAGAACCCTTTATTTAGTCACCTGGACTTGTTTTTTCAAAAATATATTAGAATTACAGACACGACTTTTCTACAGATTTATTATATGTATAGATAAAGGAAGGAAAATACTTAACCTTCTTTTTTTGAAGTTCCGTAATCGGATAAAAAGTAGCCTATAAGTTGCCCCGGGTTACTAACTACCTACATACAAAATTTTATGTAAATCGGTCCAGTGGTTTTTGCGTGAATCCGGAATACACAGACAGACAGACAGACAGACAGACAGACAAAAATTCTAAAAACCACTGATTTGGCTTGAGAACCCTTTATTTAGTCCCCTGGACTTGTTTTTTCAAAAATATATTAGAATTACAGACACGACTTTTCTACAGATTTATTATATGTATAGATTTCATTTTTTCAACAGCTTGTCGATTTTCTATCTATATTTTGGCCATAGCTTTTGGTTATGCGACCAAAAGATGTTGTAGGGTGAATACCAAATTGCATTGAGAATTAAATAATATTCTAAGATTGAAGTATTAATGCGAACACATTAGCATTCTCCCGCGTCATACCTTCCTTAGCCTAACTATTGTTATAGGCATATGAAATTAGATCATTTTGGTGGTTTCTGGTTATGTCAGATACCCTGGGATAAATTTTGCAAAATATCAGATCCTGCTGGTATTTTAATGTATTTTATTTTCTTTTATTAGTATAAAAGAAAATAAAATACATGAAAATATTATATATTCTCAAAGTAATAGGCCAAGGTCATTTTTAAATTATTGATGTATAGAACTGGTTATTCTACTTTTACAAAATCCGCTTAGGTACGCGGAATATAATAGCTACCAACATTCAAACAAAAAGAAAACAAATGTTTAAAATTATCATTGGTGACCTTGGTTTGGTTGAAACCAATCTTGTCAGCCTCAGGCACAGGCGCAGAGTAGCCAGTCCCTCGGTGTTCTATAGGATGCATTTCGGTGAGTGTGCGAAAGAATTACACGCCTTAATTCCTCCCTCTTCTTTCCACCATCGGACAACCAGGCGGTCGACTTGTCTTCACCCCTTTGTTGTCGATATTCCACGCATTAGAACCAAACGGTTTGCTTCGTCTTTTGTAATGCGTACAGCAAAGGAGTGGAATAATTTGCCGGCGTCTATCTTTATGTCCGAATTCAATCTGGGCATCTTCAAGCCAAGAGTGAATAGGCTTTTGTTACGCTAAGACAGTGCGATTTACATCTAAAGCTGCATCACCACTTACCATGTGGTAGAGCCATGCTGCGGCTATATTATGGTTATTACACGAATAAGTCGACTCGACCGGGGTGGGACCACTCTCTCCCGAAATACCAGTGTAAAATAGCAGCTTAATGCTGCTGTGTTTCGTATGGTGATTGTAGAGAACCGGAGACCCTTTTTACTGGAAACGAGGCACTCCATCTTAGTCCTCAGGGGTGACAACGCATCTGCATTTTGATTCTTAATCGAGGCTAAATGTAGATGTCTATGGGCCACAGCATCCACATACCACCAGGTGGACTGTGTGCTCGTTTGTCACCCTTATTCTATAAAAATACCACCAGGTAGGATTGTGGTTAAGCACTGGCTTATAATAATTAAAAAAAAAATAATAATAAAAAATAGACTGCTTCAAAATTAAATACAAGACGGAGGAGTACGGATAATATAAAAGCGATAAGCTAACTCTCTCTATCGCTTTTTAAATAGGTAGCTTATTATTACGTACTACAAATCTTCAACTATACTGTGAAATGGCAATGAACATGGTATTACAGCGGAGCTTACTGGAAGCGGATGGAGAACCGACGCTCAATGTCCTTTAGAAGCTGTTTGATTCTGTCCTTCAAGTTGGCGCCACTCCGGGGGCGTGGAGCAGACTTGTGGTGGTCTTATACTTTAAGAGAAGCGTCAACGCTCTATTGAATAAGTACAGCATGAGAACCTGTAGTTTCTAATCTGGGAGTTATTATGAATATCTGGGAGTTACTATGGATCCTTTCGTACGCAAGCTTGACAACTCCTATCCAACAAACCTAAAACATATCCAACCAAACATATATCCTCCGGCAAATTGTACAGAACACTGAAGAGTACAGTCTGTCTGGTTTTCTTACGTATGTGGACTATGAGAAAGTCATTTATTCTGTCGAAATTTGGGCGGAACGAGAACTACAGCGATGCCAGATTGATTGTTGATGTATCGAAGTGCCGAAGTGTTGGTCTTTTTCAAACTACTAGACCTTCTCTTTGCTGACGATATAGTCGCAGAATCGCTGGAGGGCTTTAGCACTATGCCCAATGATCCCAATAGTAGACACTCAACGGATAGATGAACATGCATAACACTTGGATCGTGTGTAACGTCCATGTCACACCCATGCCAGTCATTGTTGAGAACACTACGCTCAAAATTGTTTCTCAACTTCGACTATAAGGTCAATCGACGGTTGTAACTTGGCTGGGCAGCACTCGGGATCGGGACATTACGATACATCTTCTCGTCACGTATTTCTCAAAATTTTAAAATACAACTAAATAACCAGTGCATGTTGTCAGTGATGACCTAAGAAACTGAGACGGCTGGCCACATGACTTATTCATGAAGATTCTTGAAGTCGCTCAGCGAGTCAGGAGTTTCTCTGCATGATAGAATCCATAACGATGATATCCGCAGCAGAACCAGGGTAATCGACATAGGCTAACGGATCAAAAAGATAGTGGCAATGGGCAGGCCATTTAGCTCGACGAGCCGTCAACTTATGGGGAAGAATATTCTAGAGTGACATCCTCGAACTGGCAAGTGTAGTGTAGGACTGTTCCCTACTAGATGGTGTGACGACCTGGAAAGTCATGCAGGATGTTGTGGGATGCAGGTGGCTGCGGACCGTGCTTGGAGAAGACCTATGTTCAGGTCTTGTGGGTTGTCCAAATCTAATCTGAAAAGTACCTAATTCATTAAAATGTCATAATTGTGAATTTCGAGCCGTGTAATAACCGATTGATAATAGGGGTAGTACAAAAAGACATCAGTTACTGCCGCAGTGCGCACAAGGCTGTTTTCTTCATTTAATTATAGGATTATAATCGATGGACTTACGTCATACATTCTACACTACATACACGTCGTAATTCTCACCAGTTTTAGCGGCCAGATTGTTGTACAATTGTATCTATATCTAGCTTTAGAAAATGTTTGTATTTATTGAGATTTATTAACTCTATACGTGAATTTCGCATCAGGTTTACACATCTCATTCTATTTCAATTCACGTCGTGTAGTTTAATAAAACAATATTATCATCATACACGTTATGATAAAAATATTGATTGATAAAATATGAAAACACACATGCTCCATCCAACTTTGTATACCTACATCGTTTGCTTCATTGGATTATCGACTGAATAACTCAATTATTAAAATGGAAATAGGTGAAACAGCTCGTCGGTAATACCATGTGATATTTTTCTCCAATTAATATTTTATACCATACTTACGTCATTCATCTATAAGTACTATAAATGCATTATTAATAACTCATAAAATCTGATATTTACAGATTTCTATGGCGTTATGCGAATGGAATTATCCGCTCGAAGAGATGGGGTCGACAGAATACCACTGTGGCCGAACTGTTTACGAAGCGAGCACTCAAGCATCCGGACGCACCGTGCTTTATAGTGGTCGATGACCGCACATGGACGTTTAGAGAGGTAGCGTCCGAAACACGTTTCGTTTGTTTATTATATCATAATATCTTCTTTACTTAGTAATGTTTAAATATGTGAAATACATTGAAAAAATGTAGTATTGTACATAAGTAGATATCTAAAAGTGCCGATAGATTTTTTTAATTTTGCTTTAATCTTTGAAATTCTTCAAAAATATAAAAGTAAAGTGTCGTGAAAGCATGTATCGACAAAAAAATCATGAATTGTCAAAAATATTATTAATTTGTCATTACTGCATGATATTTTTACGTGGTAGAGCCATGCTCCAGCTTTGTTATGACTGCACTACAATAACATTCAATCGTGGAAAGACCACGCTCGTTCAGAATATCAGCTTGAAATAACAGTACTACAGCTGTGTTTCGTATGCTGAGTGACCAGAGGATACCCTTTTTACTGTTAATGATAACAATAGCGCATTCTATCTTAGTCTTCAGGGGTGACAACGCATCTACGAGGATAGATGTAGGTGTCTATAAGTCACAGCGTCCACTTACCATCCTTCGTAAATACGTAAAAGTTTACTGCCGCTTTACGCCTCTCCCATTTTAGGGAGGAATTCACCTCAGTCGTCACGCTTGGCAGGAGACTTAATGATCGTAGAAACAGACGTCTCTCATCTTTTGCGCTGCTGGTCGTTACCCTTACTTACTTGTATATAAACAGTATTACATAGTACATATGCATTTACTAGTAATAAGTACGCATTATTACCGTGTTTCCTTCTCCTTCTACAAGTCCCTCTAGAAAACTAACTTTTTCTCATATTTGCCGATAAGCAGTACAGTAGTGCATCCACTATTGTGTTTCGGTTTGAAGAGTATCGACTGCCATTACAATTTCAGTCCCAGGGTTCCAGGTATTGCAGTCCTCAGCGGTATGCCTTTGTATTAAGAATTATTATTATTATATTATTATTATTATTGTATTAAGAATGGCCATAGACAGCAGTGTTTCTTACCTTCAAGTGGATTGTTAGCGATGGTGTATAGCCTTCTTAAAGAATTTATAACAATATCCGAATAATTTCACCACGAATAATATAAAAGAAACCTTTAGCAACCTATGCTATTTTGTACTTTGAAGATAATGAGCAAATATCACAACTAAGCACCATCATATAAATAAAATTAAAATGTATAGACATATAAATAAAATTGAAAAAATGTTCTTTAATATCGAAATTATTGCCTTATTTTGTTAAGCTTAGGGGGTTATTTTCATGCCATTAAACATGAATGAGCATTTAAAAAAATTATCTCTGTCTGTCTATGTCTGTTTGTTACTTATCTTCGAAATCGCTGAATCGATTATAATGAAAATTCACGTACAGATAGAGTGCAATGCTAAGAGAGAGTGATGTATGCTATATTTTATCCGAAAAACTTAGAGATTTTAAGAAAAAGACGAAAAATTTATAATACAAATGTCTTTGATTATTACAGATTTAAATAACGCCGCATTATTGATCATATCTAAACAAAGACAGGGCGGGTTTCTAGTCTATAATATTTATAATGTCCCCTAGAACGAATTTTGGTCACGACAGCCAGTCTCAACAGAATCAAACCACGTGTGATTCTCTGCACTACAGTATTATACAGCACACGTGTGTGCACAAAAACAGGTGTACTCTCTTTATTCCTTCCGTCTCATAACCTGATGGGGCGGAAGTCCGACACAATCTTAGAGATCCGGCGCAGGACCAACGACTTTATTACGTGCTTCCCGAGGCACAAGGCGACGAAACACCGCCCACCTCCAGCCTTTGGGCTGCTATAGAAAATTTCATAACAGAAAATCCCAGTAACTGATTTTAGCCTAACATGGTATTCGAACTTGGGACTACATGATCAGCAGTCGCGCTTACTATCACTATTCCATCGAGGCGTACTGATCAACAAATCTCAATCAACAAATCAAAATCCTAAAACAAATCAAAATAAATGTATATTATATCCGATATATTATAATACTAGCTGGCCCTGGCCCGGCAGACGTTATCCTCCCCTTACTGGTTGGTGGCGCGATGAGTTTCATTTTCAGACATACACTTTTCTATAGATTTATTATACGTATAGATAAATCCTCTTTGGTACTAATAGAACCATCGGCAGCCATAATAATGACGATAAGCTTTAAAAAAAAGGCAAAAAATACCCTTTTTTCTTCCGTAATTGGATAAAAAGTTGCCTATATGTTATTCACGGTCATTTACTGCCTACATACAAAATATCACGGAAAATCGTGAAACGTGAACAAACAATTTTTCTAGATGTTTATTACATGTATAGAGTATAGATAATAATATATCCGATATACATAATAATAATAATATATGAAGTTATCATCAGCCATCTTTATTGGTTAGTGCCACAGTAACGATATATTATTTTAACGAAAAATATCTATTAATATTTCCTGAAAATACTTTATTTTATAATTAAATAATAAATATATAACATCTTAAAATACAATAATATCTTAAAATATAGGTTGCATTGGACGGACTTAATGCTATGTGGCATTCTCTACCAATCAACCCTTACAGACGAAAAATGTTGACAGGTGAAAATTGGTTCTACAAATGAAATAAGATGTAATAAATAAATTTAAAACTAGATAAAATTTATATTTATCATAACATATATCCATTGATAGTCACTTGACTTAAAGCCCTAATCTGCCCGATTCGAAGTTAGGCTCGGATGCAATGTCAATGGGGGCATCCAAAACTTTATCTGCCACCAGGGCGGCGCGGCGTCACTTAAAAATGAGATTTATTTATTTATTTATAAAGTACACCAACAGCAAAACACATGAAACATTAACAACAACACGATAAGAAAAGTATATGGTTAAATATGTTTGCCCATTACAGGTATACACAACATTTACCGTAATGTGTAGCTTATTATATTATAATGGTACTTAATACAAAATAACTTACATTAATAAAAAACTGACTAAGGAATGAGTGTGTGCTGAGAGGGTGAAAAGAAATTGATCAATTTTTTTTAAAGCATCGGGCAGAGTCGTTGAAAATGTCAATGTCCGGTACCTTTATCATAATTTCATTGTATGTGTTACATATTCTGGCTAAGGGATAATGTATGTATAATAAAAATTTGTTTTGTGGCTAGGTATGCTAAATAGTTTGCGAATTGGATATCGGGGATATCTGTACGGGATAATTAATTTGATGCGATCGAGGAGATGCGTACTTTTGATTTTGTTATGCAGTAACTTGTGTAGAAATATTAAGTCTGCAATGAGACGTCGCTCACGTAAGTCATTACATGACGAAAATTGAGTCTAGCGATGAAATGTAATATTTGACAGATTTCGTAGTGTGGAAGTTAAATTGTTCGAAAAATGTAAACGTTAATGTTTCTTTCTGTATTATTAGTTATATTTTATATTAATTAGATTCAAAATAAATAAACTAAACCACAGATCTTCATAAAAGTAGAATAATTAAGAAAGGAGTTAAAAATGTGCAAAAAAATATAGAATATACCACCGAGGCATTGTTTTGTGTATTAATATAATACTCTAGAAACTGATAAACTTTTATTTAAAAATAACTTATCAATTAAATGACATTGTGTAACAAAAAACTTCACCTCATTGTCAACTAACGACATCTGGTGAGCGACAAATTATTAGCCCTCATTGCGATAAACACTGTCTTAATCAACTAGACCCAAAAACTAACAATGTGTAAAGTAAAAAGTAAAATAATAGCCACGAATATTTGTCAAAAAAATATAAATTATGATTTACTTTTTACATTTTTATGACCCGATTGTTAAATAATACAGTAAAGGATTTATTATGTACATCTTTTGTTTTGAATGCCTTTTTATTAGACCAGTGTTATTTCAGATGGCAGAAAAATCCAATCAAGTCGCAAGAGTGATGCAAGAGCACGTGGGATTAACACGTGGTGACGTTGTATGCGTGTTCATGCCCAACTGTGGGGAGTACGTATGGACGTGGCTGGGCATGGCGAAAGTAGGAGCGGTGTCGGCGCTCATCAACAGCAACCTGCGACACAAGCCATTGCTGCACTGCATCCAGGTCGCCAAAGCCAAAGCTATCATCTTTTCAGATAGCTTAGCTGAAGGTTAGAAGGTTTTATCATTCGTACGATGCACGCAGAATGAGAAAAGGATTGGAACTACTGACAACTTCACTCACAAAATGTCATTTTGCATAACATTGTCATGACATGCCGCCATTTCGTGATTATTATATTATATATTTTAAAGAAATTATAATAAATACTTATTAAATTCATTTTAATATCAAATTACGCATTCAAATTTTGCTTGAATTCAATACGATATTCGAAATGAAATGTCAGTTTAGCAGTTCTATTTTTATTTTGCGCGTATACTTAGTATTAATTACAGCGGACATTGGTTAATAATTTATACATGGAACTAGACTTTCATTTAGGGTTAAAATCGTTATAAAAATTTCATTAGGAATTTCTAGTGTAAGTGGAAATACTATGAACTTTATTTTCAAACATCAACTTTATTTGCACGCAGTGCATCCAGCTGACTGACTGGCAACGGATTAATGGCAAAAAAATTCACACAAAAAGTTATGTGGCTGATTCGTACAGTCTGATAATGCGGAACACATCGATATATAAATGTACTACCCACTAGATTTCGTATTCCGAACATTGACTATGTTCAACTGAACTGTACTGCAATTCGTACACTAAACTAAATATTGCGTAAATTGAAGATTTGTGAATTCCATAAGATAATTATTATTACATTTAATTTAGAAATTTGTTTAGATTAAAATAAGAGTGTTTTATATTAAATTCTTATATTTATTTTATATTAATATCTTATATTAAAGTCTTCGCGCATACGCGACTCTATTCGCTCCCGCGCGTGCGCGATAACATAGAGTAGCGCACAATTTTTGTTTGGAATAGCTTCTCTAGTACGTAGTACATATAACTCAATGGCGGAACAGCATTACCAGCTCGAGACTTAAAAATGGTGAAGAATTAAAAAACCCGAAATGCACTTCGAAGTAATGAGACTTTTTATAAAGGAGGTACATGCTTTTTAAAATTATAATGTCATTTAAAAAGACAAAAAATTACTCTGAGATTGATAATGTTAAAAATGTTAAAAGAAAATCCGACTAGCGCGTTACGGTCATGGCCTCCGTATTGTTTTAGTCAGTCGAAGTCCATTAACTATAACTACTGATGTTCACACTACAATGCTACTAAAAACATTTAAGTGGTTCTTGACACTAAACTGCTTTGTTCAAGCGATAGTAGCTATTATTTTCAAATCATTGTAACTACTTAAGTAGATATTCCTTGTTATAAAAAAGTAAACATTTTCTGCGATTTGCCCTGTTGTGATTAAACTATACGAGTAAATATGTATATATTTGGATTTACTTTGGGTCAATTGTTTTTTACAAATGTAACAAAAATAAATGTTAATATTTGATTTTTTAATATGAAAAACCAATGCGCAACATAGGTTTCTCCCATATTAATTAGAGAGGATATAGGCCATAATCCCTACATCCATCACTGGTCTGAGTATTTTTTTTAATTTAATTTTAGATTTAACACTACAACATATTATCTATTTATTATACGAGATAGTTTTGACGTGTAACGCCACACTGCAGCTATATTATACGCACGAATGGGTCGCTCCATCAGGGAAGGACCCCCTCTAACACTATAACAGCTGTTGTGTTTCATATGGTAATTGTAGAGAACCGGAGACCCAATTTACTGGTAACAGAAAATGAAGAAATTTTGCTTAGTGCTCAGGGGTGATACGTAGCTGAATTTCGATTCTTAATCTAGTATAGATGTTCGTGTCTATGTACCACAACAAACACTTAACATCAGGTTGGACTGTATATTTGCCTGTTGACAACTTTATTCTATAAAAAAAAGTTATCCTGTCATTTGAATAAGGCCCCATGATTTTGGGATCTCAAAAATGTTTTTAATTATTTTACACCACCGTAGAGATCTCTGTCCAATATCCGTTAACAGTTCATTATTAGACGGCCACGCCAGGACTAAACTGTTTACTAAGAACAGTGTTTGTCCTGGCTTGGCAAGCGGAATGGACCAAACGTTGAATTGTTAAATTGTGATTCGGTTTTTTAATTGTGCTATTGTCATTGTCACAACCAGCTATAGCAGACGTCCGGGATCAGTTGCCGCCAGAACTGAAGCTTTTCCAGTTGTACGGAACATGTGCGCCTGGGGTGATAGACTTCGGTGCGGAGATGGAGAAACATCCACCTGAATACCCCATAATCTCTGATAAGCCACAATACAAAGACACTCTTCTCTACATCTACACATCGGGCACCACCGGTATGCCGAAAGCAGCGGTGCTGCCTAACTCCAAGTGAGCTGCTGTTATTTTTATATTTTTATCTAATATTTTGTAACTTATAAAAATTGGTATGCATTAGTAAAAATTACTTGCCTTGTTGGGCAAGCGGCCGTAAGCGCAGCTGCTGATCTTTTGGAGCTAGGTTCAAATCCTGATTCGGGCTAGAAATCAGTTATTGGGTTCTTCTATAAAGAAAATTTAGTTGCAGCTGGGAGTCAGGAAATTCTGTTACACCTCTTTGCCTTAGAAAGAACATAAAGCCGTTGGTCCTGCGCCGGATCTCATGTCGGAATGATGTTCCATTTGAATATGAAAGTGAGGGAATAGAGAGAAGCTATACTATCTCTATCTATCTAGATATAGAAGAAGTATTTACGTATCCTGAATTGGAATTCCGAATGTATGTGACCAGCGTTAAACTTTAAAATGTTTTAGCTTACACAAACGTTTCATCGCATCGCCCTGAGAGTGCAATATAGTCAATATTTTGTAAAAAGATCTATCTATCCAGAAATTTTTCTTTTCATTTTGATGCCTTATAAACTCTTTCGACGAATTATTTGTCTGTAATGTGAAGGACGTAATTACATGATTATTGCGGTAAGCTGATATAATCGATGCAAAATCAATTCGTTTTGTAAATCACAACACTATATTTAACATGTAAACATTACGTAATAAACAAAACCAAACTATAGAAGTATATCATTCGATAGATTATGATATGTAATAATCTATGACCGAACAGTAATAAACATGAATTTACACGAGTAATTTCTCGAATACGAGAAATCGATTTTAATAATATACCACGATGCAGGCAGCTGGCCAATAAGTTTTATGTTGATACTCGTACGTACGATAAGGTTGAAAGCGCCTTACTGAAATACATATAATTCAACTATGAATAGTTTATTTTAATTATGTGTGTCATTAACTATAATGACACACATAATTAAAATAAACTAAATTAAGAGCAGAGGGTATCCACTATCATGATGCTGTAACAAATGACGCTAACGTGAATTCTAATGATACTGGTAGAATGCTCACTTTACTCCATTTGTAAATAGTCCACGGTACTTACACAAATATACTCAGGAAGCGTTTACTTATGTGCGTACATACGGTCGCCCCAATATATTTGTTACGTTCACATGCAACTGCAACCTGGCATGACATAGTCAAAGTACAAAGCGCAATTGACAGGCATGAAGTAGTTGCAATAGTTTTCAGGTTGAAAGTTAAAAAACTTATGACTTTCATTAAGAAAGGCAGAATATTTGAAGAAGTGTCCTGCTTTATGTATTCGATAGATGGGCAGAAGCGAGGTCTACCACATGTCCATATATTGTTGTAGTTAAAACACAAGTTGAGACCTGATCTAATTGATAAAATCATCAGCGCTGAAATATCAGATCCAAGCAAGGCACTCAATGATATTATTGTAAAAAAAATATAAATCGTGATCCATGCGGAACTGATAATCCCCAGTACCCTCACATGAAAGATGGGGTATGCACAAAAAATGTCCGCGCAAGTTACTCCACACAAGAGACTGTCCACAATGAAAACGGATACCTACTGGATCCTAGAAGAGCACTATCAGACGGAGCGCGAACGTTTTCTGTAAAACTCCGAAATTGGAGTTTAACTGTTGATAATATTGGGTGGTCCCTTTTTTCCCCATGGGCAACTGTACGTGGCGTGCTCACGATTATCGGGTCCACAAAATCTTCATGTTTTAGCACGCCTGTCTCACTCCGCGCTTTAGCCATGAAAATAAACCTACGCTGCGTGTCCCCATATGCGGGGCTAATTCCGTGAGGTTGTCACGCGCCCGTTCGAGCTGACGCGCGCCTTACGTTAACATAAAAACTATTTTTCTCTAATAAGTTTTTAGGCACTTTTGATATTTATTTTTGAGTTTTTATTCAAGTATGGCCTCTCAAAAATCAAAAAGGTACTGCATAGCATACGGGTACTTAAATAACAATAGGAATGTCGACTTTTTATTCTTTACTGTTGCTAAGAATACCGAAAGGTAATATATTATTATTTATAGGTAGATTTAGATAATTAGGTACTTAGTTACTGACGCCATAATTACAGATTTATTATTTGATTAGTGACCCGACCACAGCTTCGCAGTTTTCGATTATTTCGCGTATAATGCCAATGACCTTAAAAATACGTTCAGTGTAAGTACTAGTGACTGCCTACTAATGCAAGATCAGCATATACTGGATATTTGTTTAATACTTGGTCGATAAAAGAGATTGAAAGTAGCAGCAATTCTCATTGCCACTCTTTCATTAATAATGAAGTCGCGTGTCGCATGTTTGTAAATAGCAAAAAAGTGAAACAGACAAGTGACGGCTCTGTGGCGCAGTGGCTTAGTAATGAGTTGCAGCGCTAAGGGCCGCGGGTTCGAATCCCGGACGAAACAAGTATTTGTAGGGCCTACAAATAATTGTTCTGGGGCTGTTCTATGTATGTAAACTGTCCCTGCGTTACAGGAGAAAATCCTAGTGTGGGGGTAACTTTTTTTTTTAAATAAAAGAAATACTAATACATTGTGTAACACTTTCAATTGCAATTCAATACCATGCCTTTCATGTTATCTGGGAATAGGTACTATGGTTATCGCTTTAGAAAAATTGATAGGGGACTAGTTTAGCATATACAAAATTGTATAAAACTATATTTGCAAAAATTTAGAAGAAATTTACTTATATCTACTATCCTACTGTACAGTCGTTGCGTAGATGTGTGGTTTTTCCTGTAATCCGATGTTGAGTACATCTTACATTACCTATTCTTAATTCTTATTACATGATTTGTTCGTTCGTACGTGGCAGAGACATGCTGCAGCTATATTAGTAGTATAGTTGTAGCACGAATGGGTCGGCTCGACCGGGGAAGAACCACGCTCTCACAGAATACCAGCGTAAAATAGCAGCTTAACACTGTTGTGTTTCGTATGGTGAGTGTATGGAACCGGAGACCCTTTTTACTGGAAAAGAGGCATTCCATGTTAGTCCTCACGGGTGACAACGCATCTGCATTTTTATTCGCAAACGAGGATAGATATAGATGTCTATGGACCACAGCAACCACTTACCATCAGGTGAACTGTGTGCTCGTTTGTCACCTTATCCTATAAAAAATAATCTGACCGGTATTAATTGAAAAACAAACTCCACCTACTAAAAATCGAATGCTGTTCAATAAATCCTCTTCCTGGTTGAAAGACTTGTATTATTTTATCTACAATGAACATATTACTGATGTTTAATCACGTGTAGCAATATAAAGGTTTATTATAATGAAAACAATCATTATAATATCTATTGTTTTCACAAGTGTTTTATTTGGTTACACACGTTACATGGCTGCACATTCATACATTGCGAATATAGGATCATTATTATAGAAAATAATTTAATTTTCTGTATGGTTTCCTTAAATAAATAAAAAATAAATGGCATTAAAATTGTAAGTCTGCATCCGCAGCTGCACATAATTAAGTAGATAAGTTCAAATGCCAAGACAATAGGTTTTTTCTGCAGTCATACAGATAACGGCTGATTTATGATATTTTTAACAATAACTGTTGTACATTTTATTAGAAAACTATACTCGTATTTTCAATTGTCAATCACATTAAAAATACTTGAATAACTTCTTTTTAACTCCACAACAGTTTAGGAAAATATCTTTCAGTCCTAAGGTGTACGAGCGTACATCCTAACATAATAATTTTTAAATATTTTGTAAATACATAAAAATGCATTTCTAGATAAAGCCTAAATCCCGATCACTTGATTTATAGTTGTTAATATCATTCATGTGAGGTTCATTGCTACTATTGAATAACACACGTCGTATTATAACAATTAGTTATTCAGAGATGAGTACAAGTTACGAGGTGTTTCCAGATATTTGTTGGTAGTGGTGGCTACAGTACACATGCTGGGCTTGCGTTCGTCGGACCGTCTGTACAATCCACTGCCACTGTACCATACGGCTGGTGGACTAGTCGGCACTGGTGCAGCACTCGTGGACGGAATCCCCTCAGTACTACGTGCCAAGTTTTCAGTCTCCAACTACTGGAACGATTGCATCAAATATCAGTGCACGGTGAGTTTGTATATTGCAATACTTTTTACGTGGTAGAGTCATGCTGCAGCTATATTATGATTGTAGCACGAATGGGCCGGCTCGACCGGGGAAGGACCACGCTCTCACATAATGCCAGCGGTATAGAATTACATCCAAAATATATCCTCTTTGGCACTGGTATGCAGATGACCTCCAAATACATTAATTAACCAACATTGAGGATCTTCCTAAAGCAGTTGATTAATCTCTCCTTGGTGTACAATAAAGAGTAAGTATTGTATTCTAATATTAAAACTCATTCTAATTTCTACCTAAAAAATTGAAAACAATGCCAATCTGCCTGCCAGTGTGATTATAGCAAGTCCTTCCTACAAGGGTAGAGGCACGTGTATAGCACCTCACGGACATTGTTATATTGTCGGACTTTTACGGGCTTTACTGTAACTGGGCGGGACTTTAGATTAAAAAAAAAAAACAATGTATTTTCCGGTACATTGTAGGTGGCTCAGTACATCGGGGAGATGTGCCGCTACCTGCTGGCGCAGCCGGCGCGCGCGTGCGACGCGCAGCACCGCGTGCGCATCATGGTCGGCAACGGCATGCGCCCCGCTATATGGCAGCAGATAGTCGACAGGTATTCGTGAAATTTATACCCTTGAAATGAATTTATTATACATTTTTGATTTAGCATTAATAAAGGAATATGTAAATTAAAATAAACAGAAAATACCTATCCGAAAATATAGGAAAAATCGACGATATATTCCTAAATGTAACCTCAGCTTTAGACACTAACTAAACTAAAGTATTATTATAGTGTGTATTAAGTATAGTATAGTATTTTTTTATTATTTTACACTTGTTTAAACATACCTAACGACCTACATTAAACAGTTGCTCAAAATATTTTTATATATGCCCGTTAGTTCTTTGTTTGTTATAACAATGAAAAATATAAATCTGTGTATTAGTATAGACTCTTGGAGCTAAATTTATATATTATGTACTTTATATTTTTAATAGCCGCACTGTATTCATTCGTAACCTTTCCAGTCTACTGCTGAATACACAATACATATTGTTTCAAATGGCTGAACATAGGCCTCCCCTATATATTGCCTTATAGAGGTGACTTGCCGCAATTGCGACGCTTGGCAGACGTGTTGCTAACCCCATTTTTTATTATTTTTGCTGTTGTTATTTGAAAGATGCTTTATTTTTACATGGTAGAGCCACACTGTAGCTATATTATGGTTGTAGCACGAATGGGTCGGCTCGACCGGGGAGACCACGCTCTCACAGAATACCAGCGTAAAATATCAGCTAAATGCCGCTGTGTTTCGAATGGTGAGTGTAGATAACAGGAGAACCTTTTTGCTGGAAACGAGGCATTCCATCGTAGTCCTCAGGGGTGACAACGCATCTGCATTTTAATTATTAATCGAAGATAAATATAGATGTATATGGGCCACAGTATCCACTTACCTTAAGGTGGACTGTGTGCTCGTATGTCACCTCCATTCTATAAAAATAAAAACTATTTCATATCGCTTGATTCAGTTTCCCTTTGTCGCCTCTTACAACACCCGCAGGATGATAAGGGTAAATTGATTTCTTACTCCGCTACTATTATGCTGTATACATATAAAATTATATAAAAAAAATATTTATCGGAAATTTATTCTGAATATGTTAAATTGACCGATTAATATCAATTGTTTTATGATACATTACGAGTAAACAATATATTTATTCAGATTGTGTAAACGTTGAGGTACGCATTGTTCTGTAACAATAAATATTCATTATCTTTGTTTAGGTTTAAAATACCCCAGATAAACGAAATATACGGGGCGACCGAGGGCAACGCTAACATAAGTGAGTATAGTGCATTTGTTGCTTGTTTTCGCAATTGTTGTGAACATTGAATTAATAAGAAGATGTAGTGACAAAAATTGAGATAGGTATGCTGAGATGGTTAGGCCATGTCGAGAGAATGAATGAAAAACGATTGACGAAAAAAGTGTATAAGGCGAGTGTGAATGAAAGTGTTGGAAAGGGTAGACCTAGGCGGACATTTCTAGACCAAATCAGGGACGTCTTGAAAAAAGGCCAGGTCAAAAGTACCCTAAACCGTAGAGCATGTATGAAGGGAATAATGAAAGTGGACGAAGCAAAACAAGTATGTAAGGATCGTAGCAAGTGGAAAGAACTGGTCTCTGCCTACCCCTACGGGAAAGAGGCGTGATTATATGTATGTATGTATGTATTGAATTAATCATATTCTTTATCGACGCAAAAAGGCCTTTATGATCCGTGAACAATATGGAAAGTGTGAAAAGTGCAGTACAATTACAGCGTATAAACGTCCTAACGTTGGGCATGGGTCTCCATTTTTTTGAATGGTATTTGGAAGGATTTGTATGTCGTAAAGCTCGTCAGTCGATCGGCGACTGTCGATGTATTTACGATTATTTCACTCAGACATGCAGATTTTCTCGCGATGTTTTCTTTCACCGCCGAGCACGCGGAACCGCACTTAAAATTGTAGGTTAACAATTGCATAGGATTCGGCTGGGATTAAAGTGGAACTCGAAGTACTATGAAAGCGATTATTATTCCATGAGCTACCAGGGTTCTCAACGATAATAATATTCAATCAAAACGACACTGAATAATGACTCTAATTATTTTACAAGTGGTATCGGAAATAAGAATTTAGCAACATAGTCCTATAGTTCTGTAAAAGTGCTGTAGTAATTTAAAGGAGAGCCGTACTGCGAGCACGATCGTTTTGTTCTATATTATATCTAGCGTTAACTTGTATGCAGTCTTACACACTTACACATAGTTCAGTAATTTTACTAAATTAAACCCAAGGCGCAAATTGTAGGGCTGATAGGACTCATCATTCATACATATTTACACTAATTATACTATTGTGCTCATTTTTGTCTCGTCATCTCGAGGCTAATAGCTGAAAATCAATGTTTGCTCTCTGAGCAATATTAATCACTGAGCTAATCGGACCCACTCATTAAACTGTACACATGTACATTTAGATCTTAAGATTATGTAACTTTATTGTAATACGTTACTTTGTACCTAGTTTAGTCACAGAATTTGCGTGTGTGATTGGCGAAACAAATAAATCCTTTATCTATCTATCTATCTACCTTTATCTAGTGTAGTTTGTCTTATTTTTATGTAAAATTTTATTTGCGAATTTATACAGCGCTCTGTGAGCGCATTTGGAACAAAAATTCAGTAGCACGAATCACTATGTTACGTAGAGACCACAGAAGCACTGTGTGTATTTATTTTTGTATTAATATTGTGCACTAGCTTTCACTCCTAATCCATGCGCGTAGAAATAAACTTACATAGATTAGATTACAGTAGATTACCTCATAAACATATGATATTCACCACAGTTGCCACGCTTGGCAAGCGGGTTGGCGACCGCAATTTTATATTTTAAGTCGTAATTAGGAAGACGCTGCTGCACATCTACTGATTTGTGTCCCAGTGTCATCTCTTACGACACCCACGTATATAGATGTGAAAGTGTTGCAAATTTTTTGGGTAAAATTGAAAAACAAAGAAGTTATATTCAAAATAAAGTTTTGTTTCAATTTTCATTCGTAAACAATAAGAGATACGTATTATATCTATATCTCGTATTGTTTATGAGGTATTACCAGTTTTCTGAGCTCACAAAAAATCTTGAATGTTTTTCGGATAAAATATAGCCTAGATCAGTCCTGGCATTGCTCTCTATCTGTTCGTAAAGTTTCATTACAATCAGTTCAGCCATTCCGAAGATTGGCTCGGATAGACAGACAGACAGAGATACACAAATTTAAAAATGGCTATTCATGTAAACAAACGTAGGACTCCTCATAGATTGCTTCATAGAAGAATGTGTTCCATAGTTGCCAATTGCCACGCTAGATAGGCGAGTTGGCAACCGTCAACCCGCAATTCCCTTTAATCCATTCCATGGAGTCACAACATTTTATATTTAAGCTACATACAAACACCCACACGTAAATAACCTATAGTTATAACTGTTCAGAAAGCTTTACTGTAATTAGATTTGATTTAGATTAAATAAGGGTTTAATATTTTTATTGTAATAATGCCGTAGTTTTTATTAATGAAATAAATTTTGAAGTTAACGTGGACAACAAGGTGGGAGCGGTGGGCTTCCTGCCGAAGCTGATCCCGGAGAGCTTGCACCCGATCGCGCTGGTGCGGACGGACGAGCAGGGCGCGCTCGTGCGCGGCCGCGACGGCTTCTGCATCCGCTGCCAACCCAGTATGTGCCTTGTACCAACTCAACAAACAGGATTTGCCTCATTGAGTTATATGTACTACGTACTAGAGAAGCAAATTCGAATTCAATATTCCAAACAAAATTGTGCGCTACTCTATGTCTTCGCGCATGCGCGGGTGATAGTAGAGTCGCGCATGCGCGAAGACTTTAATATAATATAAAATAAGATATTAATATAAAATACTAATATAATATAATGTAATATTGTTAAAATAGTATTGCCTAATAAGAAAAATAAATACTTATTGATTATTTTTTCAGGAGGGCCAATCAAAAAATGAAAGGATATCAATTTTGGATAAAGAAAAGTCTGCTCTTATTAGAGAATTACTAGTTCAAAGAAACAGAACAAAACTAATGGAAAATTATAATTAACTCAGAATGTTGTATAAAATACTTACTTAACCCTTTAGTTGACGTGGAGTGTCTCCAGCGCCAGGAACTTTTTAATATTTTGCATAGTGTTGTAACAACCGTTTATCGATAAATGAAACAAAGTTTTAAAATTATAGATTATTACTAGCTGACTATGCAGACGTTGTTCTGCCCTCTCCGACGACCCTGTGTCCTATAAAAATTCTTAAATTCGTAATAAAAAATATTGAGGGTCACTTACAGGGATAAAAACTATCCTATCCTCAAGTTGGACCAAACTGCACACAGTGTGCAAAATTTCATTAAAATCAGTTCAGTACAGCAGGAGTTCATCGCGGACAAACAACGTGACACGTAATTTTTATATATAAAGATATATATATATATATATATATATATATATATATATAAGATATAAGAATTTAATATAAAAGACTTATTTTAATCTAAGCAAACATATTTCTAAATAAAATGTAATAATAATTATCTTATGGTATTCACAAATCTTCAATTTACGCAATATTTTTAGTTGAGTGTACGGATTGCAGTACAGTTTAGTTGAACATAGTCAATGTTTGGAATGCGAAATCTAGTGCGTAGTATATATATATCGATGATTTGCCTCGACCTAGGTCGCATGCAGTTCGTTATAATTGCACAATTTTAAAATTTTATAATAGTTTTGTTTAAGGTGTTTATAAAATTTTATACGTGGTATAATCTTAAGTCTTAGACTCTAAGATCCGGCTGCAAGATGACAAGACGTTCTTGTAGTTTTTAATCAAAATTTAATTTTAATACCTATATAATTATAAGTGAGGGAATACATTTTTGCTAGGATGCCTATCAAAATGAGGCAAGTATTTTTAATTATTGTGTTCTTATTGTGGCTTTAAAAACGCGGAAAGCTAACATCCGTATTCCATCGTGCTCAGTAAAACATTATTTTATTTATAGGATAAGGGCGACAAGCGGGCACACAGTCCACCTGATGGTAAGTGGCCCATAAACATCTACATCTATCCACGTTTGATAATCAAAATGCAGATGCGTTGTCAGCCGTGAGGACTAAGATGAAATGCCTCTTTTCCAGTACGGGTCTTCGGTTCTCTACACTCACTATAACAAAACACAGCAGCATTATTAAGCTGCTATTTTACGCTGGTACTCTGTGAGAGCGTGGTCCTTCCCCGGTCGAGCCGACCCATTCGTGCTACAACTATACAATTAATAGAGCTGCAGCATGGCTCTACCATATATAAATATACCATACGCAGTTTTTTAAAATTTTGAGTGTTTATCCGGAATACCGTGTAGTGGCGGTCAAGAATACCACTACCCCATATCCTCCCGTGGGTGTCGTAAAAGGCGACAAAGGGAAACAGGCAGGAGATGGGCAGCAGCATCTTCCTGATAATAGCCAAAATTACAATAAAAAAACTGCGGTTGCCAACCCGCTCGCCAAGCGTGGCAACTATGGCAAATACCCCCCCCCTATGAATGTAACAAAGAGACGGCCCCCAGTCCCCGGCGGCCCCGCTATTCCTGGCTACGGTGGCGACCATGGTAACGGCGGGGCAGGGGGTGCTAAGAATCTCCGGTGGAGGTTCGGTTGCCACCTTAGACGACTCGACCTGGCAACGTACAACGCACGCACCCTGAGGACTGACGAGAAGATCGTGGAGCTGGAAGAAGAGATAGACAAATTGCGCTGGCATATTATAGGATTATCCGAAGTCCGAAGAGAGGGGGAGGACACGGTAATCCTCGAATCCGGCAACTTGCTCTATCACCGGGAGGGCGACCATCTGTCCCAAGGAGGTGTCGGATTTATCGTCCACAAGTCTCTCGTTAACAACGTTGTAAAGATCGGGAGTGTGTCGACGAGGGTTGCGTACCTTATACTCAGAATCACCAAACGGTATTCGCTGAAGGTCATACAGGTTTACGCACCAACCTCGGCACACCCCGATGGGGAGTTGGAGGAAATGTATGAGGATATCTCTAGAGCCATGCATTCCTCCAAAACCCAATATACGGTGTTAATGGGAGACTTCAATGCAAAACTAGGCACAAGAGAGAACGGTGAGCTGAAAGTAGGGAAATTTGGAATAGGGCAACGGAACCCAAGGGGCCAGCAGCTGGCCGACTTCATGGAGAAAGAGGGACTCTTTATGATGAACTCTTTCTTCCAGAAGCGGCCCCACAGGAAGTGGACCTGGTCGAGCCCCGACGGTTCGACAAAAAATGAGATTGACTTCATTATGACGACCAGACGACAACTGTTCAGTGATGTCTCCGTGATCGCGAGGGTGAAAACTGGTAGCGATCACCGAATGGTTAGAGGCACACTGAACGTAAACGTTAAGTTGGAGAGGTCTCGTCTAATGAAGTCAACGCTCCGTCCCCCTCGTGCTCTGTTCCAAAGTCCCGAAACCTTTCAGCTCGAGTTACAAAACCGTTTTCAGTGCCTAGAAGACTGCAATGAAGTGGACGATATGAATGACAAGCTCGTGGAAACTGTCCATGCGGTCGGAGCTAAGTTCTGCAAGACCCGCCGCAGAAGAACACAAAAACTCTCTGATCACACTCTTAATCTCATGGCTGTTAGACGGGAGATGAAGCTACATTCTTCAACAGACTTGACAGCATACAGGCATCTGAACAGACAGATCTCCAAATGCATGCGGCGGGACTTACGCAACTTCAATACAGCTCGTATTGAAGAAGCGATCGAGCGGAACCAAGGCTCCAAAGTCTTTGCCAGAGATCTGTCTGCCAGAAAGAGCCACCTGTCAAAGCTGAAGACAGAATGTGGCAGCATCGTTTCCGGGACACCTGAGATTTTGAGTGAGATTGAGAGGTTCTATGGGCAGCTGTACACGTCATCGTTGGAGCCACACGCAAGTGTGAGTAACGATCCAAGAGCGAGTCTCATCCGACACTATTCCGAAGATATCCCGGACGTCAGTCTGAGCGAGATTAGAATGGCTCTCCAGCACCTTAAAAACGGTAAGGCCCCAGGCGAGGATGGAATTACAGCGGAGCTTCTGAAAGCGGGTGGAAGACCGGTACTTGAAGTCCTTCAGAAGCTCTTTAATTCCGTCCTCCATGGTGGCATTACACCGGAGGCGTGGAGCAGAAGTGCGGTGGTCTTGTTCTTCAAGAAAGGTGACAACGCTCTCTTGAAGAACTACAGACCGATTTCCCTTCTGAGCCGCGTCTACGTGCTGTTTTCGAGAGTCATTACGAATCGTCTCGCGCGCAGACTTGACGACTTCCAGCCTCCCGAACAAGCCGGTTTCCGAAAGGGCTTTAGCACCATAGACCACATACATACCCTTCGGCAAATTGTACAGAAGTCCGAAGAGTACAATTTGCCACTATGTCTGGCGTATGTGGACTATGAGAAAGCCTTTGATTCCGTCGAAATTTGGGCGGTGCTGCAGTCCCTTCAGCGGTGCCAAGTTGACTGTCGGTATATCGAAGTGTTGAAGTGCTTGTACAGTAGGGCTACGATGGCTATCCGAGTACAGAACCAGAGTACGAAACCTATCCAATTGCAGAGAGGTGTAAGACAGGGTGACGTCATATCCCCGAAACTCTTCACCGCTGCATTGGAAGACGTTTTCAAGCTTCTGGACTGGAAAGGATACGGTATCAACATCAATGGCGAGTACATCACTCACCTTCGATTTGCCGACGATATAGTCCTTATGGCAGAATCGCTGGAGGACCTAAGCACTATGCTCAATGACCTCGATAGTGTTTCCCAACGGATAGGTCTTAAGATGAACATGGACAAAACAAAGATCATGTTCAATGTCCATGTCACACCTATGCCGGTAGTTGTTGGGAGCACTAAGCTCGAAGTTGTTGACGAGTATGTTTACCTGGGACAAATAGTCCGACTAGGTAAGTCCAACTTCGACCGAGAGGTCAATCGACGGATTCAACTCGGCTGGGCAGCGTTCGGGAAGCTACGACACATCTTCTCGTCAGACATACCTCAAAACCTGAAAACGAAATTGTACAACCAGTGCGTGTTGCCAGTGATGACTTATGGAACTGAGACGTGGTCCTTCACTGCTGGCCGTATGAGGAAGCTCAAGGTCGCTCAGCGAGCTATGGAGAGGGCTATGCTCGGAGTTTCTCTGCATGATAAACTTAGGAATGAGGATATCCGCAGTAGAACCAGAGTAACCGACATAGCCCAACGGATTAGTAAGCTGAAGTGGCAGTGGGCCGGCCATATAGCTCGAAGAACCGACAACCGATGGGGAAGAAAGGTTCTCGAGTGGCAGCCTCGTACCGGTAGGCGAAGTGTAGGGCGTCCCCCCACAAGATGGAGTGACGACCTGGTAAGACATGCAGGAAGTCGATGGATGCAGGTGGCTCAGGACCGTGCTTTGTGGCATTCTTTGGGGGAGGCCTATGTTCAGCAGTGGACTTGTAAAGGGCTGTAATGATGATGATGATGATGATCCGGAAGTTGCTGCCCATATCCTGTTTACTTTTCCTCTCTGTCGCCTCTTGCGACATTCACAGGATTATATGCGGTAGAGAATGCTATTAATGTTAATAGATCCAAAACATATCTATTCGATGTGAGGCGTACAGTAGTCAACTTTAGGTAACAATCCTCTTCTAAAAATCTACTATGTCAGAAAAATTTATTTATTTATTTAATCATGCGTGTATAAAAATAGTTGTTCGAATTTATTAAGTTGGGTTCATAAAAATTCTAACTTTGAAACAATATCTTCTTTTGCAGATGAGCCAGGGATGTTCATAGGATTGATTGCTCAAGGCAACGCATCCAGAGAATATTACGGTTACGTTGATAAGGTTCGTTAAAGTATATAGTTCTTAATAAAGTTCCTTAATTTTTCTTAACATGTACTTTTCGTTATTTAGTAGGTATCGACGAATAAGACACATAAATATCATCATTATTACAGCCCTTAGAAACTCTACTGCTGAACATAGGCCTACCCCAAGGAATTACACAAAGCAAGGTCCTGAGTCGTCTTACTTACATATCTTACCTGGTCGTCACTTCAGCGCTCTACAAAAAATATTTATTCTCTCTCATTATAGAAAACAACGTCTATATTATGTTCCGTATGAACACTTCTTGGGCAATACCGTGATAGAGCATAGTGTAATATATGAATGGTTCTACTGGGCAGGGAAAAATAAAATAGAATAGATAACTTTTTTATTCAATACATGTAGATTATAAATAATAATATTTATTGAAAGTCACTTTTATGTTTCATACCACACACATGAAAATACCACTGTCCTAGGAATCAAGAAACCCAGCGAGACATTTTTTTTAAATAGGAGCAGTTTACAATCAATTAACACCAGAAAACAAATTAGATCAGCTTGGTGGCTGGTCAAACCATCATCTTGCAAACCATACTTTTCTATTATCAAACAATTTCTCACCCTGTCACTCAGATTCAGCCCTAACGTACTTACTCCTTAATGGCCGCACTTCTACAGCATTTATTTTACTCTCCTACTTCTTCTGCCACACCCAACTTTCACTACCATACATTAAAGTAGGGACTGACACAGCATTGTGAATTGCCATGCGTGCCTTTTTGGACACATTATGACTTTCCACTATAGAGTGTAGAGCCTCATTTACTCTACTTCCTACGTTCACTCGTCGTTCTAATACCAAATCTACCATCCCTACTAAATACACATTCCAAATACACAAACTCGTCTACTTGCTCGACCAACTCCGCTTCTATTCTTATTTCACATATCATTTTACTTTCTCCTCTATCAAAAACCATAACTGTCGTCTTATTTGCTTTCACTTTCATTACCCTTTCTTTTAACGATCTGTTCATTAATGTAACCATCATTTGCAACTCGGCCGCCAACGACGCAAACCTGACTTGATCATCGGCGTACAAAAGTTATTTGACTGTCAGCTCACGCATTCTTAACCCGCTTTCCTCAACTTTCAAATTTTCCAAACTGTGTAAATAGGTTGAACAGCCACGGGGAAGCCACACAGCCCTGTCTGGCATCTTTATGGATGCCAAACCAGTTAGAGTAGGCCCCGTTAATCCAGATACAAGCACTGGAGTCCATATAAAGAGACTTTAATGCCTGTATCAACACAGCGCTCAACCCAAATGAGTTCAGTGTTTGCCATAACACATCTTTGTCCACTCTGTCGATAGCCTTTTCCAAGTCCATGAACGCACAAAAGATTTTTTGGTTTTGGGCCCAAAAACTGCTCTGCGATCATGTGCATGGAAAATACTTGATCCGTACACCCCATTCCCTTTCTAAATCCCGCTTTTTCATCCCAAATATCTCCATCAGTTTCTTTCATAACTCTTTCAATTAGTACCTTAGCATACAGTTTTTCTACAATGCTAAGAAGGCTTATACCACGGTAGTTTTTACAGTCCTGCTGCGACTTTTCCTTTGTGTATTGAAACTATCAAAGTTTTGCAGTAGTCTCCCGGTACCCGCATCAGTTCCCAGCATAAATTAAACGAGGTGTACAGGAGGCCTGTCACTACTTCCTCTCCAGCCCTTAGCATTTCGAGTGATACTATATCATATCTGGGTGCTTTACCTGCTTTCATGCTTTTCATTGCTTTTATTATTTCATCCATACTTATCTCCCTACCTCTTTCCTCTTCTTTCGGAATTTCTATTACATTTAATTCAGACGTTTCCTAACCCACAAATATTCTTTCAAAGTATTACTTCCATCTCTTTAACCTCGAAACTTCGTCATTCAGAATACAGCAAATATTCTCGTCACGAGTTTAAAGAACATTTTAATATTTGTCTGGAAGTTATCAAATATTGTTCTATCATTCTTATCCGTTCTTTCTTGCTTTTTTATTTCAACTGCTTCTTTTACTCTTATTTAAACGTGTAAGGACTCCCTTTTTTCTTTCAATATCATCACTTATACTGAATTACCAGCCTTGGTTGCTAGTAAATCTAGCCATTATCCCTTCCGTACTTTCTTTCTCTTACTTACATCACATACTTTGGTAGCTGCAACCACCAAACCTTTCTTAACATTCTTCACACAATCTCCAAGTATTAATCATTTACACACAGTTCATCCAAACCACTTATATTTTCTCTGTGTACATTTGTACTTCTCTTTCACACCTCATCTTGTAACTTCTCTGTTCTTATACGAGGGCGGTACTGAAAATTTCGGGAATCAAGGAAGTGACACAACATTACTATTTAAAAATGTATTTATTGCTTTTCGAAGTATTCTCCGCGAAATTTGACACATTTTTCCACACGATGGAACCAATCATTGAAGCAACCATTCCATTCGGAAGTTGGGGTCTTCAAAATGGCCGTTTTGTAGGCGTCCACAGCTTCTTCAGGTGATGAAAATCTCTGTCCACGAAATTTATTCTTTATTTTAGGGAAAGTATAGAAATCATTAGGGCTTAGGTCGGAGCTGTACGGCGGTTGGTCTAATAATTCTATGTTTTCTTGCTCTAAAAACTCATGCCAATTTCTAAAGTTGCCTGAATTTCGCGGTATGTCACATGTCAATCTTCCTCAATCAGCTTACGCACAGCATCAACGTTTTCTTGGGTGACTGCAGTTTTTGGACGACCTTGACGGAGATCATCACTGAGCTTGACACGTCCACGTTGAAATTCAGCAAACCAGCGATAAATTGTGGTTTGGGATGGGGCTTCATCACCAAATGCAGAAATCATCCGGTCAACACACTGTTTTTGTGTTAAACCACTTCGAAAGTCATAATAAATCATCGCTCTTGAATTTTTTCGAGTCAATTCCATTTTCTCAACGACTAAACAAGTTTAACAAAACCTTGTGACAAGACCGAGAATTTTTTTAAAAATAATTAAATGGTATTCGATTTTTAAAACCAAGGGGTTTTCAATTAAAAAGATTTTAATATGACAGAAACAGTGGAAATATTTCATTCCCGATACTTTTAGTGCAGCCTATGTACGTTATAATGTAATGGTAGACACAGATGTCCGATGCCGCCAACGTCTAAATAGACCATTGATTCAACATAAGACCAATAATAATCCCTCATTACGTTGGACCTCCGGTAAACCCTTGTATATACCACTGCGCTCCTCATTCTTTCATCAACAATTATGAAATCTATCATGCTTCTATCATCACCTCTTTCTCACGTATACATGTGAATCTTCTTATGACGAAAGAAAGTGTTCGTCACAAAAATATTCTTTTCCACATATTTCATCACCAAACGTTCCCAATATTCTTTCATAACCAAGCCTCTTCACCCCAACCCTTCCTTTGAAATCTCCTAACAATATTTTAATCTCCTAACAATATTTTAATTTCATTAACATCATCCTTACCATCTCCCAAATCTGCTCTCGGATATAAGTAAGCTTAGACATGTCTGGGGCGTAGACCCCCTAGAATAAACAGCTTCTTTAAGCCCAATTTCATTCGTATCCATAGCAGTTTCGGGCTTACACATTAATACTCTTTCACACGTTGACCCATTCTTTTTGAAAGGATGATACCGAATCCCTGACATGGCAACTCGATCTCGTCTACATCAGGACAGTACGCGGTATACATGCCATGTGTAGTGGCATCCTTTCCCTTCCGTTTCGTCTCATTTACACCTAACATATTTATTTCTTTCTCATACATTATATGGCATACGTCATCCATCTTATCTTTCATTGCTCCACATACATTCAACGCAGCCAGACGGATTTCTTCAATCCACTTTTCACCCCTCCGGGAGACAGAACGTGACGGGTGATGAACATCGTCGCCGGTTAAAGAGACGCTGGGAACTCATTTTTTTTTCGTTTCACCATGGTGCGAAACTAAGGGGTGGTATATTTTACGTCGCTACCACACGGCGAGAAGCCGAGTCTATTCTTTTAGCTTTGTCGCTCGTTTAGCCCCACCCGGGGGACACGTGTAGGGTGGGCCTAGGATTAGGTGGTCGAAGCCTGCGGACGCGAGCATCTCATTCACGTAATTATGTATAAAATGAAGTGTGACCGTGACAGGAAAAGGGGAGATCTCCTGTCGAGCAAGGTGTTAAGCCCGGGGAGCGACCAAAGCTCTGAGTGGTAGTTCGGAGCTATTCTATATATACTGCTTTTACTTCGGAACTTTGATAGCGCGATTTAGGGTTCGATGTGTTTCGCTTGCGGCGCGACGACTACGCTGCCACAGAAGCAAGCAATAACACATTAATTAAATAAATTAAACATTTTCAAAATGATGATTTAAAGAGTTAATACCACATGATACGATGATTTCAAAAACATTTTTCATTTTCTCTTTTATCTCTGAGATTAGATTCAGACTTCATTAAAAAAAATGGAATTGTTAATCCCAGGTCTGCATTTTGGATAGCGGCATTTTATAACTATGCTATTTCAATCATGTACGTGAAACATTCTCAGAAAAAACCTTTGTAACAAACAAAAAGACATCGAGGTGATCCCATAAGTGCTCCATTTTGCTGAATATGGCACACTATAAATATAATATAATATTCTTAAATATGTCTTATAGAGTGACAGCAACAAAAAGCTGGTCCGAGATGTGTTCCGCAAGGGCGATGCGGCGTTCGTGAGCGGCGACATCCTGGTGGCGGACGAGCTCGGCTATCTGTTCTTCCGCGACCGCACGGGGGACACCTACAAGTGGAAGGGCGAGAATGTCGCCACCGCCGAAGTGGAAGACGCCCTCATCGCTGCAGTTGAGCGGAGGGATTGCGTCGTGTATGGTGTTTCGGTATGTTTAAACTTTTTTATACATATATAAATAGCTTAAAAAATAATAAATTTCATTCTGCAGTAGTAACATGTATCACAAAGCATTGAAATCAATTTGTGAAGATATTGACAACTGGTAATCCGAATATCAGAAGAAAACTTCAAAGTGAATTAGAAGTATAGTAACAAGCCTATAAATTATATGCATTTGTCTCGGTGTTGAGTATAGAAATCATCGTCTTACTGTGATTCAGGACCATCTGGATATCTTCCTCTCTATCTCTCTCTCTCTCTCTCTCTCAGATTCTATTCTCCTATTGGTAAGAGGAGAGATAATATTGGGATATAAGTTGGGACTTAACTTTTTCTCATAAAACTTAAGTGGCTACTGCAGTCCATGTACACCTGCACCCAACATTAAACAAAGATGACTCAGATGTGTTATCACCTCTATGGACTAAGATGTCATTATACTGGCTCTCCATAACCTGTAGACTATACACAACATATACACCAGTGCAAGCGAGTGCTACTCGTGTATGGTGGCAGAAATAGTTAAGAGAATGGTACCTACGCAAACACGTCTAGGTAAGAAAGGAGTTCTACCACCAGTAAAACTTGTTGTTGTTCCAGCCTTTTCAGGTAGATGTGCGCGAGTTTCACTGTGAATTCACTACGGATTTTTTCACCATTAGGTCTTTCCAGGTCGTAATCCATTAAAACATACTTCAAGCCGCCGAAGATTAGTCAATTTTTACCATCAGTCAAGTGTAACGTCCCTCTGCAAGATGCAGGAATGTACAAGCTTGATTGTGAATGTGGTCTCTCTTATATAGAACAAACTAAAAGATCCATAAAAACCCACGTTAAAGAACACATAGCTGATGTGAAGAATCGACGCTCTGGAAAGTCTGCAGTCTGTGAACATGTACAGGATCGCCCTCGTCACTACATTAGATTTGATAGACCACAAATCCTCGCTAAAGAACACCGATTCCTTCCAAGGATGATTCGCGAGGCTATTGAAATCAAAAAACATCCTATTTTCAATAGAGAAGATGGCTGGGTGCTACCAATTATGGGATCCCAAGCATCTGCTTATAATTAATAATACTTGCTATTAATAGTATATAATATTATATACTAATAATAGCAAGCATACAACTGTAAGACTACAAGATACTGTAAGTTCATACTGCGTAGATCGGAAGAAAAATTAATAATTTTAAATCTGGAGGTAGCCGTGGTTAACTATGACATTGGGACGTCATACACCTCAGTCCCTCCCGTGACCATGGGTCCTGGGTAGTGCTCGAAACGTCGGGAATATAAACTAAGTTAATATACGCGATAAAATCCGTAAAATTAGTTTTATTTAAATGTGTTTGTGTACATTATAAAAGTGAACATTGAGTGTATATTTTTTGTCCTCGGAGTCACACAGTGAACATATACAACATGGAGATGGAGAGTCTACTTCAGCGCCAACAAGACATTGTTGAAGCGATCAAGAAGATAGAAAGAAACTTCAGCAAGGATTCCGCAAGCCAAGCAAGTACTTGAGTGAACGACTCAAATCCCTTGATAAATTAAGGGCCGAGTTCCAAGTTAACAACCACAAGCTATTCAACTATGAGAATGATCCTTATTTTACGGAAAAACAATACCAACAAACCAGGACATACTTTGATTCTGTGCGTATCAAGATATCATCTTTTCCTCCTGCTAGTGAAATTTCTGCACCTCCAACACCAGAAGTTCTGCCTAAGACTGTTCCTCAAGAGTCAGCTCAAATTACGGTTTCACCTAAACTATAGCCGAGACTCACAGTACTATCAACGTCATCTACGATGATGACCTCGCCTACAGATCAAGGTCAGGCAGCTGAACTGCTATCTCTGCAAAGAACTAATTTTAGAGCTTTCCACCGACAAGTGAGTAGCTTGCAAGTTGACGAGATACGAGATGAGTGGGAGCTGGAAGATGAGTTACGCAACATCCAGATACACTGGAATGCAATCGACGCTTTGCATCTACAAATCGATCATATTCTTCAAGGTTCAGATACACAGTATGACAATGAATTTTATGCCTACGAAGACTCATACACGAGCATCAAGAAGGCTTTGAATCTTAAACTTGTATCCACGGTACATTTGCAACAATCAACACCACAAATCGACATACCTACATTCACAGGCAAATACACACAATGGCCTACATTCTACGATCTCTACGTAGAGAGTATCCATAACAAAAACCTGCTCACAAAAAACCAGAAAATGCAGCACCTGAAAGGCAAATTACGAGGAGATGCCGAGCGACTTATTCAGCAGCTAAACATCTCAGCAAACAACTATGATACAGCATGGGAACTGTTAACACATAGATATAACAACCCACAACTGCTGTTTACTAAGCAGATTGAGATTTTCCTAAATCAACCGGTTGCTCACAAACAGTCGGCATACGAGATTAGACGTCTGTATTACACATCTTTGGAATGTATCTATGCCATACAGAACCTAGGTATCGATACAAGAACCTGGGACCCACTGATAGTGCACCTCATAGCAAAGATACTGAAACATACCGTGACTATAAAGTAGCACGAAAGTCGCAAAGAGACTTACCTTATCTTATACTGATATGTGAACTTATGGACTTTCTAGACAGCAAGTTCAACGCTCTAGAGCCAATGGGTAAAAGGGAACGAGAGGTCTCAACAACATCCAATAAAACTTACCAAAAGAAGATTAACAGTTAACAGCAAGTCATACAATCCTCATTCTCATCAAGTTGGTGGTATCCGCTATGGAAAATTCCCGAACAGAGAATTTCAAGCTGTTGCGACATGCTCGTCTAACTGTCCTATTTGCAACAACAGTCATCACCTATAGAAATGCAGCAAATTCATCAAATTTACACCGGACGAGCGGTCAATGACCGTCAAGAAAATAAATTATTGCCACAATTGTCTGTACCCACACAGTGACAATCTATGTACGTCGACAAAAAGATGCAAAGTTTGTCAAAAGAACCTTGATACGTCGTCAACAAACAGGCAGGCCGACGTAGGCCGACGTGACCGCCGTGCCGGGTCGTTGCCCGCACCTACCGCTCCAGTTACGCAAATACCTCAAGTGTCAACGCGACAAAATACTAAACAACATAGCGTTAATCACGTTGCTACAGATGACGAGGAGATTCTATTGACGACCTTATCTATCATTGTCAAATCTTCTGATGGCACGTATATCACCTTGAGATGCCTTCTAGATCAACTTACTTACTTATTTACTTATCTTCACGCACAATCCCTGACGGGATAGCCATCCTTACATACCTCTTTCTGCTTTCAGATTCATTATCTTCTTCATACATGCACGTCTCGGTATCCGAGTACTCTTGATTCTCCCCTCTTCGAGCAATTTGCTCACACGGTCTTCGAAAGTTAGTTTCGGTCTACCTCGACACCTTGTAATATTTACTTTCGCGCTATATATTTTCTTCACCATTCGGTCTTCACTGATTCGCTCAACGTGCCTAAACCATCGAAGCACGCCCTTATCAAGTTTTGTGATAAAGTCATCTTTCAAACCTGCTATATTGCGAATCTCTTCGCTTCGCTTTCGGTCGGCCAGGGTAACGCCGCACATTTTACGAAGAGATCGCATCTCCACTGCATTCAACTTACTTTTATGCTTCTTCTGGCATACCCAGGTTTCGCTGCCATATAACAAAGTTGGTACCAACACTGCGTTATGTATTGCAAGGCGTGCACTCTTCAATACGCCTTGCCTTTTGACTAACCCAGTCAGGACACCATTGACTTTGTTCCCGGCAGCGACACGCCTGTCCACATCTAAATCACATCTTCCATCCCGGCTGAAAGCACTCCCCAAGTATACCTTCTAGATCAAGGCTGTCAAATTTCACTGATATATGAGAACGCCGCCCAGATGCTAGGCTTGCCTCGACAACGGTATCACGCATCTGTATCCGCATTGGAAATAGATCGTAAAACGGCAAAGGAGTCGTCACGCTTGAATGTCAATCCATTTACCAAGACTATGAGTTCATAACTCAAGCATTAGTCATCAACCACGTTTTCAACAATCTGCCAAATATGTCGTTTAGTAAGGAGTCGTGGCCTCACCTGCAACATATACCTACAACTGGCTGATCCCGAGTACAACGTTTCTAAGCCTGTTGATCTGCTACTAGATGCAAGCATATACTCTGAGATCATCATGAGCGGTCTGATCAAAGACCCAAACATGGCACCAATAGCTCAACAAACGAGACTGGGCTGGATACTCTCGGGTAACGCGAAAACGTGCAAATGTCACGTGGTAATTACCGACGTATCAGAGATTTCTCAATACTGGGAGCTCGAAGAGATCTGTGACTCAGCTGCTAAATTGACACCAGACGGACAGTATTGTGAGCAATTCCACAACAAGGCGACTCCCTAACGGAAGATACGAGGTTGCTCTCCCGATGAAGCCTGGGTTCGAACATGATCTAGGTGAATCTAAATCAAGGTCAATTGCACAATTCTAGAACTTGAAAGAATAGGTGTTACTTTTTATTGTACAACCTTGACCGATATCATTATCATTACATTGTCGATGCAAAATATGCGCACTGTGCATTTCCCACAGCAAGAGAATAGCCATTTACTATCGCAATGCAACCTGACACATCGCTCGCGACACGGCGCCTCCCTTGCACTGCACATTGTTTTATTATGTATGTTCAAGTTACAAATTGTTTGTGTTATGTGTAACTCATAAATCGGTTTATATATAGAACATAATAATTTGTTTGTCCGTGTATGGATACAATTTTGAATGTCTGATTCTGTTAGAGTGAGGAGCAGGTCTTTTTGTAGATTGAATGCGATATAAGTGTGATGAATTCCACGATGTACTTCTGCCGAGGAAGACTAATAACTTTGTCCAGCTCAAAGGTTTTCTTATTCACCAGGGGAATCTTGATTTCAATGATCAGGTA